CACTTAATCTCAGTATCTCTGCTAAAGTCCATCCATCCATCTTCTTCCGCTTATCCGGGGTCGGGTCGCAGGGGTAGTGGCTTCAGTAGGGAGGCCCAGAAGTATGAATAATTTTGCAATGCCATAAATGAACTGGATATCTGCATTCAGTTAAGACGGTCTATTAAAATGTTTTGCAAGAACAGCCATGGAGTGTACTAATACCTACTTCTAAAAAAAAAAAAAACTGACAATTATAAAGTGAAGCCTAATGTAGTTTTCTTATTCAAGAGCCAAAGCTACATCTTCTACGGAGATTTAAGAAAACAAATGACCAAAATGAAATCCATCCACTTCTTCTGTTTATCTGGTGTTGGGTCGTGGGGGTAGCAGCTTCAGTAGGGAGGCCCAGACGTCCCTCTCCCCAGCCACTTGGGCCAGCTCCTCCGGGGGAATCCCAAGGCGCTTCCAGGACAGTCGAGAAACACAGTCCCTCCAGCGTATCCTGGACCTCCTCCCAGTTGGACATGCCTGGAACACCTCACCAGGGAGACATCCAGGAGGCATCCTAACCAAAAGCCCGAGCCACCTCAACTGGCTCCTCTCGAAGTGGAGGAGCAGCGGCTCTACTCCAAGTCCCCCCCGGATGACTGAGCTCCTCACCCTCTTTTAAGGGAGAGGTCAGACTCAGAAAACTAATTTCAGCCGCTTGTATCTGGGATCTCGTTCTTTCGCTCATGACCCAGAGCTCATGACCATAGATGAGGGTAGGAACATAGATCGGCCAGTAAATCGAGAGCTTTGCTTTTTGGCTCAGCTTTCTTCACCACAACAGACAGCGCACACTTCACAGCAGATGCCACAACAATCCGGCTATCGGTCTCCCGCTCCATCTTCCCCTCATTCATGAACAAGACCCCAAGATGCTTAAACTCCTCCAGTAGGAGAAGTACATCCTCCCCTAGCCAGGGGAGGCACTCTACCCTTTTCCGGCTCAAGACCATGGTCTTGAGTCATGATCTCTACAAAGTGATGCCTGAATATCACCACCTTTATTTATTACTGGTGGTCCAAAGAAGTTCCGGTGTTTTCTTTGCTTCATAATCCTATTGATCTGATCTCTGATCAGTAGCAATTCAAGATTACTAACACAGTACATTTAATAACAACTGGCATCAGCCAAAGTGCTGCACACACATGAAAACAATATTGCTAATTCAACAAACACAAATACTATACATAATGGGAGGGAAGAAAATCATGCTGTAAGAAATCCCAGAGATTGTGTTTTTTATGTTGGCTCTTAAAACATAATCCATAACTCAAAGTTGAAGCCTGTCTACACACAACTGGACATTAGAGCCACGAGGGGG